AAAAAGTACCAAACAATTCCATAACAATATAAAAAAGATACAAGAGATTTAAAATGAAAGGCAGCAGAAAGAAGAAAAAATCTTATTATATCTGCCCCTTTAATAAAGAGATAAAGTTAGGGAGGCCAGACTGAGATGGTTTGGACATGTCAAGAGGAAGGACCGTTGGTATATTGGTAGAAGGATGTTAGAAATGCAGCTGCCAGGAAAAAGACAAATAGGAAGGCCAAAGAGGAGATATATGGATGCAGTTAGAGAGGACATGAAGGTAGTTGGAGTGACAGTTGGTGACTGCACCACACCACACTAGTTAGGGCCTACCCACTGCTGATACCCATGCCCACGTAGCCTGGTTTATTTGTTTGAGTTCCAAGCAGACTGCACCGATGTAACAACTTTGACGTAAGCAAACAGTAGCCGTTGATGGGCCAGTAGAGCTACTTCACTGGATGACCCAAACTGCAAACTATATCTTTCTACTTTCTACACATAAGACAATAAAATAATCCTCCACTACAATAAACACTTTTGTGTTTCTGTCTGCACATGACCTGTTGTAGACCTTAATTGTTGATATTTTTATATTCTCTGATATTTTTATATTCTCTGTTATTTTTTAATATATTGTGTGATGAGAATAGAAGCGGATTTGCCACGAAATATAGCAGAAATCAGCAACAAACTCAAAGCTACGCTCGGCAGAATGCAGATCTTAAAGTCATCTACCTGGAAGCTGCAGCAGAGGCGTTCCAGCGGGCAGAAGAGGAAGCGCTGCTCCCGGCTTAAGAGGAGAGGATGCCGGGCGGGGGTTATGGTGAGGCTACGAGCTAACGCTAAAGCCGGCAAACTCCCCATGCCGTCTCTCTTTCTGTCGAATGTCCGCTCGTTGGACAACAAGATGGATTTACTTCGTCTGAGAGCGGGCGCCTCAGAAGAGATGAAGAAGTGTGCAGTGCTTTGCCTCACGGAAACGTGGATTACAAGCGAAACGCCGGACACAGTCTTCCAGCTGGATGACAGACTTTTTTTTTCGAGCGGACCGCTGCAGCGAGCTAACGGGGAAATCACGGGGAGGCGGAGTATGCATTTACGTGAGTAAAAGTTGGTCCACGAACTGTACTGTTGTGAATAGCTCATGCTCGAAGGCTTTGGAGCAAATAACAGTGAAATGTCGGCCACATTATCTACCCCGAGAGTTCACTGTGACTTTCATCTCTGTCGTCTACATTCCTCCGGACGCTAATGCTAATGAATCACTGCAGGAACTTCATGATATCATCAGCTCGCTGCAGAACAAACACCCTGAGGCTCTTTACGTGGTAGCCGGAGACTTTAACCACGTGAATCTAAAGGAGTGTCTCCCAAGCTTTAATCAGCATGTGACGATTCCGACACGTGGAGACCGCACGCTGGACCGTGTTTACACGAACGTAAAAGATGCATACAAAGCCGAACTCCGCCCCCACCTAGGACTGTCAGACCACATCTCAATCCTCCTGGCTCCTGCTTACATGCCCCCGCTGAGACGCTCCAGACCGCTACAAAAGGAAGTTAAATGCTGGATCCAGGACAGTGGCCCCATACTGAGAGATTGTTTTGATCGAACAGACTGGCTGGTTTTCAGAGAAGCTGCTGAAAATTGAGGTTCGCTTGATCTTGACCAATACACATCCTCAGTTCTGGGTTACATTAGTACATGTACTGACACCGTCTCCACTATCAGAAATGTTAAAAGCTACCCAAACAGAAAACCTTGGCTGAATGCAGAGGTGCGTACCCTGCTGGAAGCCAGGAACACTGCCTTCAGGTCTGGAAACTCAGAGGAGCTGAGTAGGACAAGAAAAGAGCTGGTTGCTGGTATTAAGAGGGCCAAGGCCACATATGCAAAGAGGATCGAGGGTCAATTCATCTCACAAGACCCTCGGAGCATGTGGAGGGGCATTAAGTGCATAACAGATTATAAAGGAAGGAGTGAACAATGCCCCAAAGACCCATCTCTGCCTGATGCCCTCAACAAGTTCTATGCACGCTTTGAAGACCCGAACAGACCACCCAGCACCAGACTCACCTCACCACCGGATGAAGAGCATCTCAGCGTGACCTCAGCGGAAGTAAGGAGTACCTTCAGGAGGATTAATCCGCACAAAGCAACTGGCCCAGACAACATCCCCGGAAAAGTGTTGAAGGAATGTGCTGATCAGCTCTGTGAGGTGCTGGCAGACATCTTTAACACCTCACTTACCCTGGAGACAGTTCCCACCTGCCTGAAGACTGCCACCATCATCCCAGTCCCAAAAAGCTCTACAGTGACTGGTCTGAATGACTATCGGCCAGTGGCCCTCACCCCAATAGTCGCTAAATGCTTTGAAAAACTGGTCATGACTCACATCAAAACAACCATCAACATCAACGAGGACCCTCATCAGTATGCATACCGTGAGAACCGATCAACAGAGGATGCCATCTCCTCTGTGGTCCACACTGCGCTCAACCACCTGGAGCAGAAAAACTCTTACGTCTGTATGCTCTTTGTGGACTTCACATCCGCCTTCAACACCATGATCCCCCAAACCCTGATGGACAAACTATCCACACTAGGACTAAGCCCCTCCATCTGCAACTGGGTACTAGACTTTTTAACAAACAGACCACAGTTAGTGAGGATCCACAACCTCTCCTCCTCCACCATAACCCTCAGCACTGGCTCTCCTTAGGGATGTGTGTTGAGCCCCCTCCTGTTTACTCTGCTCACATATGATTGTGCAGCTACCCATCCAGGCTGTCACATTGTAAAGTTTGCAGATGATACAGCGGTGGTGGGATGCATCACAAACAATGATGAGTCCAGCTACAGGCAAGAGGTGGAACACCTGGAGAGCTGGTGCAGAGAGAATAACCTTCACATCAATGTGAAGAAGACAAAGGAGATGATTGTGGACTTCAGAAGGAACAAAAACACCTACACCCCCCTGAACATAAGAGGATCTGCGGTGGAAGTGGTCTCCAGCTACAAGTACTTGGGTGTACACATGAATGACAACCTCAGCTGGAGCAACAACACCACCAGCCTGATCAAGAAAGCTCATCAGAGACTCTACTTCCTCAGACGGCTGAGGCGAGCTGGTCTGGGAAGCTCAGTCCTCACCTCCTTCTACAGGTGTGCAGTGGAGAGCATCCTGTGCTCGAGCATCAATGTGTGGCATTGAGGCTGCACAGCTGCAGAAAGAAAAGCTTTGCAGAGAGTGGTGAAGGCTGCACAGAAATCTGTTGGAATCAGCCTCCCCACCATCACAGACATCTACACCTCCAGATGCAGGAAGAGGGCCACCTGCATCATGAAGTACCCAACTCACCCAGCACACACACTTTTTGCCCCACTCCCCTCAGGAAGGAGGTTAAGGAGCATTAAGTGTAGAACCACTAGACTGAGGAACAGCTTCTACCCTGAGGCTGTTAGACTCATGAATCTCTAACTAGAATAATCACTGTGAAAAACCATATCATGTTGCTGCTGATCTGTTTCAATGTTGATGTGTTCATGCGTGCACATCTGCTCACAGACTCATGTTCATGTTTGTGCTGATGTTCAATGTTTTATGTTATGAGTGCTTAGTGTATATTTAGTTGATGTTTTTCTTAGTTCATATCTTAGATGTTATTACTGTTTTTCTTATACATTTTATTGTTGGATGTAACTGGGACCCTGTGTACATAATTTCGCTCCACCACATGTACCACATGAGGTGCGAATGACAATAAAGAAACTCTGACTCTGACTGATTCCTTGTGTATGTTCCTTTGTATTGAAACTCTGGCACAACAATTTCCTGCGGGATCAATAAAGTTCTATTTTATCTTATCTTACATCTTAACTTTCCTCTTTTCGAATGGAGCCACAAGAAATGAGCACATTTACAGATATGTTGAAGATGATGGCACACCTTGGCTACACTCGGACTTATAAGCAATCCTGGGATAAGCTAAAAAAATTGAAGTCCTATAATAGGGCGATTAAATACCACAACAGGTGGAGTGGCTTGAACAGACCAGTGACGATCCTTCCCACAGAACAGGGAAGCAGGTCAGTCTCCACTGTAGTGGCAAATCACCTCTACCTGAGATAAAATGAGAAGACGAGAGCCGAGTAGAGTCACACAACAATGGCAAAGTGGCTTATAGTGATGGTGGCAGAAAAGAGAACTCTGGACAAACTACTGAATATTGTAGATGTCAGTTATTCTCTGCACACCATCATCAGCAACCAGTGGAGCCTGTTCAGTGACAGACTGCTCCTTCCCAAGTGCAGGACTTAAAGACAGAAAAACTTATTTGTTTCGCATGCCATCAGACTGTATAACTTCTCATTGGGGGGAGCAGAGATAACAGTAGGATAGAGGATAGGAAGGAGCAGCAGCCATCATCTTTAAATAGCCATTAACTGGCTATATAGTAATATTTACTGTTAAATCTGTATGTATGTGTGTATATTATTTTAATATTTACTGTATTTTATTTTGCATTATTTATACTTGCTAACTGCTCCTTTTTTTAAAACCTGTACGATGCTGCTGAAATTTTAATTTCCCTGAAGGAAACTTCCCAAGAGATCAATAAAGTTTTATCTAATCTAATCTAATCTAAACCGAGCTGAGTTGGTACTGGCAGTGGGCAGGCCCTTAAATAATGTGGTGCTGTGCAGAACTGATGAGTGTAGAGACAGTGGCAAAGTGTCATAACACACCTGATTCATATTAATGAATTACTTTCTTGGAATGTCATTCTAATCCTGATAATTATTAGATTTTTAAACCTGAAGGAAAGAAAAATCTTTAACTTGCTGGATAGTGGGTCTTGTATACCAGGGTTGGGAACTTCTGCTATGAGACTGAGGTGTTAAGTAACAGACTTGAACTTGATTCTTGATTCAGTGTCATTTATATGTATTGTTGACTGGTTTGAAGGCATCTTCTCTAAACTTTTGTTTTTTTATTTCTTTTCAGCCAGTAATTCCAATGTTTACTCAGAATGTGCGGGAAGGCTTCAGATCTCTGGGAACCCTAAGTAAGTGTAAAAAAACTACATCCTGTTTCAACAGTGGGCAGAGAGAGAGAGACATTTGTTTGGCAGCACAATTTGAGGTGCACATCTCTCTTTATGTCTTTCTTTGTGAACCAAACAGATGTACAAAATTTGACCTATTCCTGTTTAGAAAAGCAAACATCCAAAAATTTTCTAGTTTGCGTTCCTGGTCCATGGAACATTTTTGGGGACTTTAGTGGGGGGGAATATATATATATATATACTACATTGCCAAAAGTATTCGCTCACCTGCCTTGACTCACATATGAGCTTAAATGACATCCCATTCCTTATCCATAGGGTTCAGTATGACGTTGGTCCACCCTTTGCAGCTAGAACAGCTTCAGCTCTTCTGGGAAGACTGTCCACAAGGTTTAGAAGTGTGTTTATGGGCACGAGAAGGCCCGGCTCTCAGTCTCCACTCTAATTCATCCCAAAGGTGTTCTATCGGGTTGAGGTCAGGACTCTGTGCAGGCCAGTCAAGTTCATCCACATCAGACTCTGCCATGCATGTCTTTATGGACCTTGCTTTGTGCACTTGTGCACAGTCATGTTGGAAGAGGAAGGGGCCAGCTGCAAACTGTTCCCACAAAGTTGGGGGCATGGAATTGTCCAAAATGTCTTGGTATGCTGAAGCAGTCAGAGTTCCTTTCACTGGAACTAAGGGGCCAAGCCCAGCTCCTGAAAAACAACCCCACACCTTAATCCCCCCCTCCACCAACCTTTACACTTGGCACAATGCAGTCAGACAAGTGCCATTCTCCTGACAACTGCCAAACCCAGACTCGTACATCAGATTGCCAGATGGAGAAGCGCGATTCATCACTCCAGAGAATGTCCCTCCACTGCTCTAGAGTCCAGTGGTGGCGTGCTTTACACCAGTGGTCCCCAACCTTTATTGCGCCACGGACCAGTTTAGTGTCAGACTTTAATTTCACGGACGGGGGGGGGGTCCTACCTACCCACCCCTGAGAATTTGACTGCAAAGAAAAGAGAGCCTTGACGTCCTTTTCAGGGACACCACCAAGTCATTGGTTCAGGTATGTTGACGACACCTGGGTTAAAATCAAATCTCAGGAAGTCCAACATTTTACTGACCACATCAACTCTGTGGATAAATACATCAAGTTCACACGAGAAGATGTAAAAAATGGCAGGTTGGCTTTCTTGGACTGTGAGGTCTCAGTCTCTGATAGAAGACATTTGCAAACTGAGGTGTACCGCAAACCCACCCACACAGACCAGTATTTGCAGTTTGACTCCCATCACCCTTTGGAGCACAAGTTATGAGTCATCAGGACTCTGTATCACAGAGCAGACAGCGTCCCCACTAGCTCATGAGCCAGGCAGAAGGAGAAATCCCACAAAAGACAGTCTCTAGAGCAATGTGGATATCCTAACTGGGCCTTCCTGAAAGCAGAGAAGAAACCCAAACAGGACTCCAGTCAGCCAACAGGTGAAAAGGATGAACCCAGACCCAGACCAGTGGTCATTCCATATGTTGAGAGAGTATCAGAGAAACTGAGACGTTTATTTTCTAAACACAACGTCCCAGTGGCTTTTAAACCCCAAAATACATTACGGCAAAGACTGGTTCATCCCAAAGATCCAGTCCCCCAGCACAAACAGAGCTGGGGGACTGGAAGTCAACACTTCCTGGAACTAGTCGGTCTTTGATCTGAGTCGAACTCAGCCCTCCTGTTCAGTGTCAGGAGGGCTGTGATCAGTCTTACATCGGGGAAACAAAACAGCCACTGGCCAAAAGGATGGCCCAGCACAGAAGATCAACATCATCAGGCCAGGACTCTGCGGTCTACACTCATCTCCAGGCCAGCGGTCACTCTTTCAGGGATGAAGATGTTCACATCCTGGACAGAGAGGAACGATGGTTTGAGAGAGGAGTAAAGGAGGCCATCTTTGTGAAAAGAAATCGTCCATCGTTAAACAGGGGTGGAGGCCTCCGGGTTCAACTGTCCCCCTCTTACAATGCTGTGATTGCTAGTATCACTCAGCCCTCTGTGAATAGTAAACAGCCATCAGTGTGCTAATGATCCATTGTTTGGCTGATGGTCCTTCTTGAGCATGTGATCAGCTGGTTTTGGTTGTCAGCAGCAAAACTGGTTGATCCACTCTGAGACGGTGCTATTTAAGAGACTGAGCTGAAAACAGCACCTCAGACTGAGGAAGTCTCTCGGATGAGAGACGAAACGTTTCTACATTTTTTTGTTGATTTGCTTTGTTTTGTTTTTTTGAATGTCCAGAGGACCAGATTTAACTTGTTTAGATATATTTTGCCATGTAAATCTAACCTAAACCAAGTTAGGAATGGAAAAATAGTTTGGAATGCCCTTCTATAGGTATAAATCCCTATATATCATTTTTCAGCATGACCCACCCTTTAATTAGTAACTGTAGCTGATCTAAACCATGATAGCTTACACACCATGTGCATATAGGTTAAGGTCTTATGTAAAATCCCACTCATAAGCCCAACTAAAACTACATAAATGCATAACACGTAGAACCAGAATGGCACCCACTGGGAACCACCAGCAGCAGCCTTCGCTGAAGGGAACTACAGCTCCAACGTGGGTCTCCAAACTCCATCCAGTGGTCGCCTCTGCAGTTCAATCGAGGGAACCCCTCTGCATGCTGATCAATCAACACCTCCAATCGTTGTGGATTTATCGTTGTGGATTATATGACTTTTTCCAATGGATTACAGACTTTGTTTCCAAGGGGTTAAAGCATTGCTGCAATGGAATTACCAACAACATAATGGAATTACCAACAACATTGTGGAATTACCTAAACCGTTGTGGGATCACCTTCTTTGACTTTTGTTTTCCTCTTGCTGGATTACATCAAGATCAAGGACATTCGGAGGCGTAAGTTCATGTTGGAATTCATCCCCATGGACAGGCGATGATTTCCAAAGGGGGGACTGTAGTGAACTAGGCCTCGACCTCAACCTGTCTCTAAAGACCTTCATGGGACAGGAACTGTTATTTAATTGATTTGAATCCAGAAATACAAATTAGCTCATCCAGAGACTGTTTAATTGTATCCTGATTTAATCAATTGAAAAAACACTCTTCTTTTTATATTATTATTACTATTTTACAATATCTTGATAATCAAAAGTGTGTTTAGTTCATACCATTTCTAATGTTGAAAGTAAACCACTCATTTAAATCAACTGTGAAACAGTATTGATGATTTTTAAACCTCATTTAAATTAGAAATCAAGTTAAATGTCTATTTACAAAGTAATTATGCATTTTGATCTTCTGTCTGAATGAGAAGTCAGTGATGTCGGTCGAAAGTCAGAGACAGTCAGAGAACGAGTTATTAGAACGAACTGTCTTGTTTTAAACCTAGCAGACGGTGAAAAAAGAAGCAACTGGCACCTGCTTCCTCTCACTTCTTCAAAACATTTCTCTGTCTGTACTAAACGTTCCTAAACATTCCTGCAGCCTTTCTTGACTTTTAATAACCCTCTGACATCACTAGGATCACCCCCTGTTGGTTGTTTCAACCAATCAGGTAGTACTTAGTGACCGGAAGTGAGGACTCTTTAAAAGTCAACACTTCCTGGAACTAGTCGGTCTTTGATCTGAGTCGAACTCAGTCTTCTTGACTCTTCAGTCTTTGACCGGAGTCTTCTTGGGTCTTTCATGGAGTCTTCTGGGAGTATTCAACTTCTGAGTGGGATCTCTGACGGAGTCACAGCGCCTCGCTGTGAACTCACCCGGTCGTAACTCCTACAACTTCGAAGGGAGCTTGTTCTGTTTACCGGAGTAAACCACACAACTTCTGACAATGACCAGCCGCTTTAACCGGAGACGCTGGAAAGGTAGCATTGAAATGGACCCTGTACCAGTGTTGATTTATCTTCTGCAAAGGTAACAAGTCGTCACGCACCGAGTGTACCGGGGGTTTGAGCTGGTATTGAAAGAAGCGTGCTAATTCTGGTCAACAAAACATACATCTTTCCTTCATCCATCTTCCTCTAAATCTCTCCTCTTGTAAATCTTTTCGCCAGTAAATCAATCTATATGCCTTCAGAAATGTTCTGTTGTCTTGTTAGTAAAGCGTGCCAAGTTTTATTAATCAGAACGAGATCAGCAAATCTATGTGTACATATTTGATGTTAAATTTTGATTCTGTTAAATAAATGGCCGCATTTATTCTGATGGGTCAAAGAAAATGGCGTCTCATGTCACTGATTAAACAATGAACACAGTTATCTTGGTCACATGGCATTAATTTAACTTGAAAAAGAAAGAACCCGTTGTATTTAAATTTTTAGTAGTGAAGCGACAGTTAAGCTGTCCCCCACATTTCACTACATGCAGAACACCAATGGACTTTGTGGATAAGGTGAGGGATGTCATTATGGAGACTGATGAATCTATAGTCTCTTTTTATGTCACATCGCTCTTTATGTGCATTCATGTTGATTAGGCATAGAGTTTCACTCGGGTCCAAATAATCCGAACCAACCCGGCTCCAGCCCACAGCAATCATCTCCGAACCCCACCCAATCCGACAAATTAACCGTAATTACAGGTCCGTAGCCGAAACCCCCCGCCCCCCCCCCCAACATTTTTAATTAAGCTTTGACTTCTTATACCACCGACTATTATTAATAGTTGGCGGACCCGCGCAGCTGAGTAAAGCGGGCAGAAGATCGGAGCTGAGGAGCCGTCAAAGCGCATTAAATGCTTCCTCTGCTTCTGTCTGCATCATGCTCTGACATGTCAGATATTTTATGATCTCACCTGTTTGGGTCATCGGCTGCGCGTGTCCGCTGAGTGCAGCGGCTCAATAAACATCCATTTGGGCTGATGGATCACTGACAGTAGTCCATCTGAAGCTTAACTGAACTTTTACTTCTTTCAACTGTCCTGTCAGCACGTGATCAAATGGCTGCGTGCGGCTGGTGATAGTATGGCAAGCCATGTTTGCATATATTGGAT